TACAGGCAAGGGAGGGAAGACGAACAGGAAGATGAATAGACGGAGGATGAGGCAAGGGTGAACTCGAGCCACGACGCGAGGGGAAGGGGCGAGGCAGTGGAGGAAGGAACCCGGAGGGTCCGCGAGTAGGGTGGGGGTAAAATGCTCGCTCGTTTGCAAGACAAAGAACCCAAGCCGCCGTACGAACTCGTAGTTGTGCATAAACGCTATCAACCCCATCTACATATTCTAGGGACAGAGGCGATGAAGGGGGTGGCGGCGGGAGGGCGGCCAGGCCCGAGGCGGAACGAGAGGAGAGAAAGATAGCGCGCGCGCAAATACGTCCCTAGTCCCCTCCGCCTCTGGCCGTGACTCCGCCGAGGTGAAAAGATACCCGGAGCACTCCGAGAAGTAGCTCCGGCTACGAGGAGGACGACGAGGAGGACAGCTCCCGAACTGAATTAGAATTCTTCAGTTTCGAGGATTTTATTGTGAGAATCCTCGTGGCCGGATTAATGGAGCGTAATTAGAGTTATCGACGCCGGAAACGGCGGACATCTTTATGAGCCACGGACGCGGGGGCGGTTCTAGAGCCGGGGAATCCTTTTGTTGCAATTAGCCGGTCGAACTGTTGATTTCTCTCATCCTTTTTTCCGTCTTTTGCGGATAGATGATGGAGACGCATCGATGGGTAATTGAAGTTTCGGTAATTTAACGAGTGCGTGGAACGTTTTGGGAAACGTTCGATTGGCATAACGAGTGGTAGCGTATTAATTATAATTGAAAATAAAATAAGGCAGTTCCAGGCTGTGTAGACTTCAGTGTACCGTAATTATGTGAAACTTTTAATTTAATTACAACTACTTCAACTATAGAGGAATATTTTAAACGAGGGAATACTTATTAGCGTCAACGTTATAGTCGTTTATATTCTACTGTATAACTAACGCAGTAACTACCAGATAAGCGCCAATAAAATTACCACACGAACCGAAACTTTCCACGAGACTGTGAATGTGCTTCGGATTCGACTACTGGAAACAAATCATTCGAAGCGAACATCGCAAGAAGCACAGAAATCAAAGTACAAATTCCCCATACAACTGTTCTATATTACTATGTACTGCTTTACTAACCTCCTTACAGTACCGTCAACCTCTCCAAACTTTTATTCCCGTTCTCACTTAAACAACCATTTACCACTTAATCACACTACAAATCTGTCTGGGTCCACGTGGCGCGTACCGCGTTGACAAGTTAGGGAAACACACCGGTCATCGATTGTTAATCCACGCCGACTACAAAGATCGTAGCCGGGGGTTCCCTCGGCAGGAGGGTGGGAGGCGGTCTCGGGGGCGGGTGCAACGAGGGTAGGAAGGAGAGAAGCTGTAGAAATAGAGAGGCGGGTTGAAACCCCCTTGACCCGGCGCCAGAGGGAGGCTGCATGCCTGGCTGATTAGCCTAATGGTGAGTCCTCCTCTTATTCTCCTACTTGACGCCAGTTCGCGAACCTCTCTTCTCTCTCTTATCCCACCGCCACTTCCGTTCTCCCTCTCTCTCTCTTTCCCTTATCCGGCGTTCCTCTCTCTATCGTTATCCGTCTCGCTCCCTCTTCCCATCTTTGTCTCGTTTTCCCTGTATTTTACCCTCCGGGGACGCCTCGGCCTCTTCACGACCCCCCGTTCGAGCTGCGGCATCGACTCAGACCCTTGACTCGATAAGAAATATTCCTTCAATTAGGAGCCGGCTGAAATATCAATGTTTGCACGGCTACCAACAACGGACCGAGGACTCTGTTTTAATTCGCCGCGAAAGCACGGTCAACGGAGACGCTCATCGGAGGGTGTGCATCGCGGACCGACGAGCCACCGCGACTGCAGCTCAACCCTTCAATCCCGGGGTATTTCTCATTCAAGCAGCGCAGGAGCCAGCGAACAAAGAATTGATACTGCGCGTCCTGTAACTGTTACACCGGGACCTCGAGTGTGTTTTTTTAATTCGCAGCGAGTGCACGGGCACGAGGGTGCACCGAGAAGGCGGAGTGCTCCGGGTCAACCCTCGAATAGATGCTCGAGTTACGGCGGAATTAAGAAATCAAGAATTTATGGGGAAGAGTTTGGAAGAAGGTGATGACCTTCAGGTGGGAAGAAGGCGATTGTATCGTTTAGTGGATGATATTGATTCTTGTACTATTCGAATAGTTTGACTGACCTGTTTCTTTTGTGAATATTAAGTGTGCAAATGTTTTCGATTATGTTTCGCGCGTGTTTTCTGCCTTTTTGTGCTTATTGTGAGATTCCTAAATGTAGGGGTTGTTTTATCCTTTACAATGAATTGAAAGTATGTTTCGAAGGAAATAGATTGACAGTAATCACTAAAATAAAAAGATTGTATAGCAGTAGGATCAGTCACTAGTGTTCAGACACAATGATCGTAAATTCTGATTTTTCGCAGAACGTTTCTGAACGCAAAAATAAAACAAGATGTTACGGAAACAAGGAAAAGGTACCAATGGTTTTCTCGTTCGAACAGTAAACTGGTATATTTGAAATTAATTGTTACGGGCACGAATTGGAATTATTAGCAGTTTGGAATTTTCCGAGTTCGATTTTCATCGCGCGGTGTTATTAGAAGCGCAGCGATTGCTCATCGTGCCGACATAAATTCGATTCCTGAATTAACGCAATGTTTCGCAGCGGATGGTTGCGTTGTTCCGCCGTGTCTAGCCGCAGACAAAATGTGTTTATATTGCTCGTATATGATGGAGATGTTGATATTTGCGCGGATCGATACAGTGAAACGATACGCGAGGAAACGCCGCGAGCACTTGCTCTATTATAGGGAGCAGAAGTATTCCATCAATTACAATTCGAGAGGGTTGTCAATATTTGTGCCGATACTAGCGGCTCAAGTTCGCGAACCAATTATTGATTCAAACGATATCGGGGGTGAAACCTATCGTATATATTTTTACGCGGAAGGTTTGAAAGATGGTTACTTGAGAGCAACCACATATACGAGGGTGTAAATGATGTTGCCTTGCTTAATGATGAAGTTAAATTCGAAAGACAGTCGTAAATGTTAATTGATTCGATGTTTAGGATTTGTTTCGTTGTGCTACAGTAGGTTTTCGCACACTTCGCACTCTTATTCGGTAGTTAGTGAGGTGTACATATTGCAATAATGTACATGTACGTGCATTTAATTCATGCAAGCGGATGCTAATAGAATATAGAAGTAATTGAACTTCTAAAGATTTTGAATGCGTAAGTTAATCTGTTGATGCTATATATTTTTCTTATATTTGAACTGTATTGAACGAATGATTTAATTCTATAATGTGGACGTTTTGTTCATCGTGCGCAGTGTCTGAAAGTTAGGAACTTTCTATGCATACTGGAATAAAAAATATGTTAAAATTGTCACAGGAAACGCGAGAGCAACCTCCACCTTAGCTACTACCACCATTTGTTGAGCCAAATCGTGTATCCGACATGTCATTAATAACAGTACATCCCTTATACCACTGAAAAAATATGCCACTTTAAGTAAAATCAATTATTACTATGAACTAAAGCGCCCAAGTGTACCATAACAACAGTTAAAATATTAAAAGTGCACCCATTAACCAAACTCCCAATACTTTTAAATCTACGTTGCATTTTATGTTTGTCAATGATAAACGAGCCGCATATCTCTATACACAACCTACAAATCAACGAAATGTCACCTCCGTCTCTTTTACGAAATAACGTGACAAACTTGGAATCCGCATAAATAGAAATCAGCAGTTCAACAACAAACGACGTTCTTAACACTAGATTTACGGAACCCGTCCATCTGACGGATATTAAATTCTATAAAAATTAATTAATAAAAGTATGTAGTAAAATAGTTTATAACTATTATCTAGCAACTATGCGAATACGTATCTTAATTCTCCGTGTTTGATGTCCTAACTTCCAAGATCCATACGAACGAACACCTATTTCTCTAGGAACAATACAATGAAGCGTACAATAAAAGTCCGTAAATCTAGAATCAAAGGGAAGAATTGATCGTCCGGAAAGAGGCATATTTTTCCCGGAGAGAAAGATCACGGAACAAGTGTCCTCCATCCTAGTGGCTCAACGAGGAAGAAGGGGAATCTCCTTGGAGCAGGACGTTACATCACGGGATCAAGGACCAATCGAGGAACCTCGGGGAGGAGCTAACCTGTGGAGGCTGCCGCAGCTAGAAGACGTTTCCAGTGTTCGGGGTGGGTGGGTGGTGGTTGTCCGGGGGTGGCTGATGACCAGTACTCACCGGCCGCTGCGGCCGCTTTGCCCGCATCCAACGTGCCGTACGGCGGGATCCCCATATGGGCTGGCGGCGGCTGAGTCAGATGGTCCCCGTTTGGGCAGAAGAACGGCAGCCCGCTCGGATGCGTGCCCGCCAGGCCCATCTTGCTCGCCTGCGAACAGAAATTCGAGAATCGTAATTAGAACAAACATTAATCAACTGGATAACGGCACGTAGATAATTGGGATAATTGAAACAATTTGGCTAATTGTTTAAAGTATGGCGCGCAAGTGGATCGCGCCGACGGAGCGCGTTGCGTAATAGCGTTGCATTATCGTTACCGAGTAATTAATAATACGTTTATTAATGTTTCGTTAATGCAACCAGCTAATTAGCAGTCCGCCGAGGATTATCAATTAATTAACCGATGCGCCGGAAGCATGCGGGCGAGGCGTCGACAGGTGTTTGCGTGATGCGAATTAATATTTTCCTTCTGTCGGATGATCGATAGGCGCCGTTATGGAGCCGCCTCTAGATCAGAGGACACCGCGATATTTATCGGGACCCAGTTGCACGAGATAATGTTGTCATTGTAATTATCGTGTGTTTAGGCGGGTGAGAATATTTTTAATTGTCCAATGCTGTGTAATATTTCCATTTCTCGGTTCTAGGATGAAAATGCATCGTTAGTATGGGAAATAACGATTTGAATTATTGACAATTGACAATTTTATAGAACCAGAATAGGGGAAATATTTACTTCACCATCTAACCAAATACCTTACGATAAAAGTACCATAAAAATTTTATTAACGTTGATCAATATCAAAATTTCCTTCCCTTTGAAAAATCCGGAAATCCTATAAACGCATAAAGATCTCTAGACCAATAACAAATCATTTAAAAGATCCGGAAGACGACCAGCTTCTCCAGAGTTCTCTGTCGTCATTCCACGCTTTTGATCAAACGTCTCGCGATTATTCCAACAGCGTTTACCGCGTGCTTTCCCATCGAGGAAACGTCAAGAATCGAAACGTCGTCTATTACGGCGACACAGAGAACAATGAGGACCATTTTCGTCCATTAAACAAAGCAGAAAAGGGATCGTTCACGGTAATCCGGGTCTAACGATCGGCCGATGCATCGGTATCGAGTTCCTTTGATCGCGAGTCGAGTACCATTTCCGTTCTTTCCTGTTTAACATAGACATTAGCCTCATTTCCATCCGGTCTGGTCTCGGCCGGAAAGGCGCAGGATCGCTGGACTAAAAAGCCCCCGGAGGAGGAAATATATTATACAATTCAATAAACCCTCGAAGGGGGAGCGCTTATCGAGGACGAACTCGAGCATTAATTTGCAAAGACGCCGCGCGCGCGCTCGCCCGCTTGCTTGCTCGCTCGCTCCTCGAACCGGCGGAGTTCGAGGGGTTCGTTCGGCTTTTCCGTCCGCCGGCTCGACGTCGCGGGGTATCGCCGAATTCAAGTGGCCCTTGAGCGTTCTCGCGCGACTCATCGTGTCCCTTCGGCCCCTTCCCGCCGCCTCCAGCCTCCGCGGAGGTTGTCGAGTGACAGTCGATGGAATTAGTTCAATCTGGCCGCGAGCTTACAAGGTCGGTCGGTCCCTGCCACCCCTTTCCATCCCCCTCTCTCGCCTCTTCCGTGCCCGTTGCGGCGTCGGCGAGCGATCGATAGCTCGAGTGGTTGTCTCTTATCAGTCGGTGCTTACCATGAGTGCAGCGGTATCGCGCATCGATCTGACGGCGAGTAATAGTCCTGGATCGAGAGGCTCCCTTTCCATCCAAGTCAGCACCCTCGACAGCAGACCGACCGCCTCTTCCGCGGTCGGTTCGTCCTCCCCCTCTGCGTCCTCGTCCTCCGCGTCATCCTCCCCGTAATCGGCCCACTTCTCGTCTGCCTCGATCTTCACGCGGCAATGATCCTCGTCGAGCTCCTTCTTCCGTACGCAACGCGCCAGCTCGCTCTCCTCGTCGAGGATCCACTTGCTCAGCTCGTCGTCGCTGACCTCCAGACCCACTTCCCTAGCCAAACTCTGCAACTCGATCAACAGCATCCTGTCCTCCTCCTGATCAGTTGACACGTGTACTCTGGCGGACAAGCTGGGCCAATGGTTCGAACCTCCAGCAACGTTTTCCTCGTGCGCTAGGATCCAACTTCTAGCGAACGTTTCGGACCTGATGCTCAGCCAGGCTCTGTGAAGATCAGCAAAAGCTTCCTTCATAGTGAACCCCCTGAGGAACGCGGTTAGCGGATCGTTCTCCGTCGAAGGGGTCTTATGATAAATGCCGTAAGCGGCTCTGGAGAGTACACCGCTGGCCAATCGGACTCTCAATTCCTTGACAACGATCCTCATCTCCAGGCAGTCTTTGGGTACCACGTATAGCCTGACCAATCCATCCGCGGCAACGCAGTCGGTCTCCGCTGGCAAATAATCAGCGCTTTCGGCGACCAACACCGCTCCATCCGGGTGCATCGCCATCGCCGTCACAGCGAACTCTTTGTGGAACCACCACAGAAAAAGATCTACCGTCAACGAGCCTCTCCCGCCGCCAGCGTAGATCACCGGCTGGCTAAGCATGTTTACCCGCCGAAGGCAACGCGGCCGCCAGTGGCGGCCGGTCACCAGCAGCCGCGTTCGGTGGTGTCCTTCGTGATCAGCCGCCCCCACCACCCAGACCCTCTCTGCATCGCCAGCTGTGGCGACGGTGGCGCGGCGACGTCCCGGCAGGTCCCGCCAATCCAAGAAGGACACATGTGCGAGGTATATTCTGCTGCGGTCGTAGCTTTCTAGGGCGGCTCTCAGGGTTTCTATCGCCGAAGCCTGGGACAACGGCGGGCAGCTTCTCGCGGCAGCTTGCTGCTCGTTCACCTTTTCCGACGCCGTGGAGACGGAGGAGGAGAATGGCGAGGAAGAGGATATCGTGGAGGACGGCGCGCCAGTAGACGCCGCGGTCACGCCGCACGATTTCTCGGGGGAATCTCTGTTGCCCCGCGACCTGCCCGAACACTGTCTCTCCTGCTTGCGTTTCCTGATCCTGTCCTGCTCGGTGTATCGACTGGAAGTCACTTTCTTCTTTGAACCATGCTCCTCCGAGGGCGGTTTCCCTTGGGAGATCGCGGACGCGGAAGTCGAAGAAGTCGAGCGTGCCGGCGAGGAGGCGGTCGATGCCGGGGAGCTGGATCTCCTGGAAGGCGATGCGTCCGTAGAGGCGGAGGACAACGCCGGCGAGGACAAAGGTGTGGACGACGAAACGGTGCCATCTCGTTGGTGGCATGCTCTCCGATCATCGCCGGTGCTGATCTGATCGCGACGACGTTTCGCCGGGCATCTTTGCGGCTGGATGCCGTTTTCACGGGGCTCGAAGCCATTCTCCAGGGACTGGCGCATGCGCGCCGGCCACGGCGATCGACCCTCGCACGCTGCCACCGCGGACTTACTGGCTGTTCTCGTCGTGGTCGTGGCCGTCATCGTTTTCGTATACGTCTCCCCAGTCGGACCAGCGTTGATCCTTCCCGTGCCCTCCGGGATCGGCTCCTCGGGCTGGCTAGCGGGCGACGATCGATGACGGCGATGATCGTGGTGATGATGGCCGCGTAACCCGCGCCCTCCCTTCGCAGCAGCCACTTTATTGTTGTTGACACGCGCGCACTTGCCGCCGCCGCGGGGTGACATC